GGTGGCAAGGAGAACCAAGACCACCAAGCCATTTTAGAGACTTTCCAAAAGATGATATCTCTGGCCTTGAAGCTGCAGCCAGAAGTGCAGTGCTGTGTGGTTTTTTGTTTTGTTCTGTTTTTTTTTGTTTTTGAGACAGTTTTTCTCTGTATAACAGATCCCTCACTGTCCTGGACTCAATTTGTATATAGACCAGGCTGTCCTTGAACTCACAGAGATCCATCTGCCTCTGTCTCTGAGGGCTGGGATTAAAGGTGTGTACAAGCATGCCAGGCCTCAATGGTTTTTAAATTTTACTATTACTATTATTATTAATTATTATTTCTTATGAAAGAGAAATTTCAAAGGAATTACACTGACAGTTTTGAAGTACTCAGAGGGAGTGTACATTTTTGAAAATGAGCATTCATCCATCATATGGCGGTGGTGGCAGTGGGGATGACATGACTTCACAGACACCTCTAACACTCACAGTGGGAGTTACAGACAATGGTCAGCCTCCATGTAGGTGCTGAGACTTGAACCTGTGTCCTCTGGAAAAGCAGCCAGTGCACTTAATTACTGAGCTATCTCCTCAGCCCTGTTAAAACTTCTTAAGGTACAATTGCAGACTTGAATATCGATGAGCGTTTTATTAGTTAATGCATGGGAGACTCAAAGGAAGGCAGATCATAATTCACTTTAATGTCTAATGAAAAATAATCTACAAAAAAAGAACATAAAAGCAAACAAAGACCTCATTGCATTAGGTGTACCTTTTCAAACTAGTTTTGGGGCCATGCCCACCTGTTTGAAATAGTTTTATGGGAGACAGATCAAGGAAACTTGGAGTGCTTAGCTCATTATTATTGATTCTATCTGTGGCTCTAGGTCTGGAGCCTAGGGCCCCATGCATGCCACGCAAGCACTCTGCCATTAAACCACACTGTCAGCCCTTTCCTTATTTTTATTTTGAGACAGGGTCTCATAAAGTTCCCCGGGCTGGCCTTGAACTCACGCTATAGCCCAGGCTTTGAATTTGGTGATTGTCCTTCCTTGGGCTCCTGAGTGTGGAAATTAAAAGGGGTGTGGTACTAGGCCTGTATTACTGATACATTAACATTAAGGATCCTGGGTCTGGGAGGTTGCTCAGCAGGGAAAGCAGTCCATGCATAAGCCTAATAACTGAGCCGAAGTCCAGAACACACATAAAAAAGCCAGCTGCAGTGACCTGAAGTCCCAGCATTCCTATGGTGAAGTGGAAGACATTTCATTGGAATGGAAGAGACACTGAGAACTCCTGGAAACAGTAGAGCAGAAACACCAGGAGAGACCCTACCTCAGCAAGGGAGAAGCAAGGGCTGACTCCACAAGTTGTCCTCAGACCTTTACATGTTCACTCTGGCAGGTGTGTGCCCCCAGTTTAAAAAAAATGAAATAACATTTAGACAAGGCTTCAATTAATGAATTAAAATCAAGGAAGCAGAATATTATTATTTTCAAATTAGATACAACTTATTTTTCTTTCTTACAATTTTTTTTTTTAAGTAAAGACAGGCAAAGGTAACTCATTCCGAGAGAGTTTGCGAGTCTTGCTTCTTTTGAGGAAAAATACAGAACACACAAGAAGCATTTGTGATTTAATATAACACGGACTTTTGAAGGAAATTTGTGACACACAGTCTCAAAGTTCATGTTTAATTTACTCCAGTTGTTTTTAATTCATGTGTGGGTTTCAAAGTTTTCTGCGTAACGTTTTCCAGTTATTCTCGATATGTTTGTGAGAGAATTCAGCTGAAAGATTCACAATTATTCTTGTAGATAGTTTTTCTTATATATTTTCTCATCTTATTAAAAAAATTAATTTATAAAAAGAAATTGTACGTGCACCGGTGTTTTGCCTTCGGGCATGTCTAGGTACTGTGAGCGAGCCATTCCCAACAGAGGCCTGAGGAGGGGACAGATCCCCCGGAACTGCATTTGTGGATGGTTCTGACTGCCATGTGGTGGCTGGGAACTGAAACCCAGTCCCCTGGAAGAGCCTCCAGTGCTCCCAACTGCAGAGCCATCTCTCCAGCTCCTGGCTTGTACATTGTGAAAGTAAAGAATGAAAAGTAGCTATTGATTCTTGTCCCTCCCTGGTTTCCTCCGTTCTCTTCTTGCATTTTCTTTCCCCTCACCCTTCCTTCCTTCCTTCTTCCTCTTTCCCTTTAGCCTTCTCGTTTTCCTTCCTCCTTCCTTTCTTTTCATTTCTCCCTTTCTGCCATAGATGGAACTCAGGGCCTTGTGTGTGCCAGGCAGGTGCTGTGACATTAACCCACTCAGCTCAACATACAGGTTTAAGATCCAGCATCATATTGGTTCCCACACATTAAAGCGCATACTGAGAAGAGACCATGCAATTTTAACCCTTGTGGACTTTCATACGAGGCACAGAAAATACAGATATTAAGAAATAATACAGAAACATCCCTAGAAGGCTGCCTGGAGGGCAATTTAGCAGTTTGCTATTAGTACGCACGTGGAGCAAATTACTCAAAGTATGTATATTACCATCCTTTACAAAAGGGCGATCTCAGTGTTTTAGTTCATTCATTTAATACACATCCATTCTTGGAGATAAATATAAAACCAAGGGACTGAGGAAATAGCTCAGTGGATAAGAATGCTTGTTGCCCAAACACGAGGCCATGAGTTCAAATATCCAGCACCCATGTAGAAAGCCACAGTGTTAGCACGTGATGGGCAGAGACAGGAGGATCACTGGGGTTTGCTGGCTAACAGCCTTGCTCCAGATTCAGTGAGAAACCCAGTTCCAAAAAAACTGGGCAGAGAACAACACACGTCTGCCTCTGTCCATGTATATATGAGCCTATGTGCACACATAGACACTTACATGTGCATAAACAATACGCATGTGCATATAACACACACACATACACATATCACACACATACACATATCACACACATACAC